CCAAAGTGTTCCCTTCCCTAAGACCTACTGTGCTTTGGGCTGCCTTTCCAGGAAGAAAAGTACAGCTTGCAGGTAAAGCTTTAATACCCAGAGGTATCACTCTAAGCCCTAATGAAGCATTTCAGAAGGCTGGTGGTTAATGTTTGATGGGCAGGGACCTTGGGCAGACTCAAGGTTATGGCTGACCAGAGTGCTACACCTCACCAGGAGCCCTCCGAGAGCACATTTCATCAGCACTCTGGTGACAACTGGACTGATGGACTCTCTAAATCTGAAAATTGTCTTCTAGAAGGATAAAGTCACTGTGAGTTAACAGCTTTGCTGAGGTCTGCTTCCCATCAAGTCACGCAGTCAACAAATGTAAAACACCAAAGATATATTAAAGGGCAGGAATAGAACAAGCAGGGAAATTGAGAAAGGCTGCTTGATCTTGGGGAGAAGCAAGGGAGCAGGAGACCAGAGAGGAGAGGCAGACAAGGGAAGTAACAAAGCGCTTGGAAAATCAAGAAAGCCACAGAGTCAGATGACATCCTTACAGGGTGTGATCCTGTGCCAATGCCACATGGCCCAAGCAAAGAAAATCCCATAGCAGACTCTCCTCCCCACACCCCCAGTCTCTCAATCACCTGGAAGTGCTCATTATGAGAAATGTTGGTATCTACCTCTGAGCTCAAGAGAACTTTTCCCCATCCCAAGCCATCTTCTCTAAGCAAGTACTTTCCACTGGTTAAAATGCAAAGATTCCCCTTTGATTCTGTGCACTGTGTGAACACCTCTTCATCTCCTCAAAACACTGAGCTAATTTCATTTTCAGCTAGATCACAAGCCAGGAGTTACCTCAGTGGAGATGGTGGAGGTGAACTGTGAGTGGTCGTAGACCCACCCATACTGGCAGTCCTGGGTGATGGAGTCGTTGTCTGCTTGCAGAGAGGAATTGAGAAGTAGGTGAAACTGAGGCTGTGAGAACATCTCACAAGACCTGAAGGTGCCATCGGGCTTCCGGGGGATGCTGATGAGCAGAATTTCCTCCGTGGTGAGGTTCACAAATTCTTCCTGATGCGGAATTGCACAATGGTGAGAGGGAGTAGCAGCAAGAAAGTTGTGTAATAGGAAATGCATGGGAAGGTTGATTCTTGGGAGGCAGAGGATTAACAAAATCAAAATCTGAAATCTGCCAAAGCCACCAATTTCCAGTAAGAGATCCTCAAATTTCATCTTTCCTATAGAGTTTGCTCATTCAGAGCAGCTATGTACCAAGGAGCAGCAACATGAGCTTGAAAAGTTGTCTCTGTCCTTGGAGCTCAGCTTCCCATGGCTTTTCCTACAGACACTTCCTTGGACTTTGAGATCTCACAGCAAGGCTTTCAAAAGTCACAGCGAAACACTCAATTTGGGGTAGAGCCAAAGAAATCATTCCAAGTCATTCCATGTGCATACACATCTATTTTAAGCAGATCCAGCACAAAGCACCTTTTTTTTCTTAAAAAAAAAAAAAAAAAAAAAAAAGTCCTTTCCTCCTGTGGTGGTTTTTGAGGGGGAGAGCCACATTGGTAAAGGGCTGTGGGGAAAAAAAAGCCATCACCATTGTTTCTGGTGTGGGGACATCACACTCTGCTTTCTCACGGGCCCCCAGGAGTGCAGTGGTGCCCCCCAGCATGGAGAATGCCTGTGAGCACCAAAGCCTGATTGCTGTGCATCAGCTGTGTTCTTAGTATGGCTTGTCTCAAGTCATGACCTGGGAGAAAGGGGTATGCAGAGGACAGAGCACCCAGAAGAGATGAGAAATGTGTCTCTGAATGGAGACCAATTGGTTGAGGATCAATACAACAACCCAATGAGGGACCTACAGCCCTCAGCAGGGCCAGAGGTACTGCTGCCACTGGGGTTTCACACCACGGCTCTTCCAGCACCACCAGAAAGAGCTCCTAGAAGAGACAGGTCTTCAATTTGCATTTCTATTCTTTGTGTGCTCTTAGCCAACACCATGGGCTCTTTATTCAGCCAGAGCCACTGCAGAACAAGAACAAACCATGCATCTGAGCAGCTGAAAGTTAGTTGGAGAAACCTGTCATCAAAGGTCAAAGTTGACAAAGGATATGTACCACATGTAACTTTGAGTTCCATATTGCACAGTTGCTGGGCAAAAGCCTTGATGCAGCAAATGGGGAGGTGCAGCAACAGAGCTGGTGCAGCTTGGGTCACAGAAACCACAGCGTGGTTCAAAGGACAATCTCTACTCCATGAGACAGGGACAAAGAAGTCTAGCAGCTCTAGGTACTTCAAGTCAGTCAGGAGCTGCCCACCCTTCTCCCTGTCTGGTAGAGACCCAGCTGGAGGATCACTAGCACTTAGCACAGACAAAGGGCTTTGCCCCACAAACAGGCAAGCTCAGAGAAGCAGCAATATCAAGGCTGGTTAAACTGGGAGTTGGGAGGGTAGCGAGTTCTACGTTTTTTCCCTACATCTTCCCTCCTACAGCAGTCCTGTGGTCTTGAGTGTTCAGGGGTGCTGATGCAGGCAGGCACCTGCCCTGAGGCTGTACTGGGCCAGAGAACAAAGGGCTGCAGAGCAGCAGGTGGAGATAAGAAGGGCTGAAGCAGTTCTTAGGGCCTTTCTGGTTGTGGCTGAACGCTCAGGTTCAGGCTTATAAGACAAAGGATGGCATGCTGTGGCCTTAGGAGATCTTTGCTTGTCTCAGCAGCATTCCTGGTCATCCATGTTTAACTAACATGCTGCCCCAGTCTGCACTACTGAGTGTATCGGTGCTCATCTTTGGATGGGAGCAGGGAAATTAGGTGAGAGTGGAGCAGGGTCACCCGACAGCACCATCCTTCCAGGGTTACAGTTTAAACTCAAGTCGAACTAAAGGGCAAATCGTTTTTCTTCCCCACTGGTTTTCTAAAAGCAAGGAACAGGGATTCTCATTGATATGCTGTTGCATATTTTAACTGCAGAGCAAATCCAGCCTCCCCTTCAGAAATGAGGTTACAGTCCATTGCTCTGCAACCCTTGGAGCCCTTCTCTTCATACTGCAATTGCTAAGAACATGTTACTTGACTGCTGTATTTCTCTAACCCAAACATGTTTTCGTAGTGGGTCACTACATGTAGTTAATGGACTGCACGTACAACTGCTGTGACTCTGCCCCACCACTTGGCTCTAGACCCTGGACCTGTCTCGTGGCTTGGACCTGCCTCGTAGCAGCGAGATCACGCTGACTGCTCACATATGAAAACAGAAGCTTCATATCCATATCATTTTCCTCAGCAGTCTTTCTTCTCTGTTTCAGAAGGCCAGCTACTGGTGGAGAGAAAATATCCTTCAGTGGCCAACAGCAGCACAGCCAGAGGAGCTGTTGGAGCCAGGTCCATCAGCAACCCCAGACACAGCCAGGGGATGAGCTGGGACATGGGCGCAACCGGAGAGCCCAGTCTGGAGCAGAAGGGGCTGGAGACAGGGGACCCAGGCATTTAGTAGGCTCCTGGACCACTAAAGGGGCAGGTGAGGCTGTGCAGGGCAGTGAAGACACTTTAGTGTCCCTAATATACTGCAACTGAAATTAACAGCAGGGTTTTACCTCAAACAGTCACGTAATGCTGTTGAGGGAGCTTAGGGCAGGATTTAGTTTTGGTTAGAAAGTTATTTCTGGAAACCCTGTGCAGACAGTAAAGGTGTGGGTGTGAAAGTACATAGTCACACTTTCTTCCACTGAAGCAGGAGCTGGGCTGAGTGGCTGCCAAGAGTGATTTGTATGTGATGACAGAGCAAGCAAAGTGAGGTCCAACACCCAACCTGGGGAGTTTTCCTTCCCATGTGGCTCATTGCATCCCAATAACTCCACAACTCTGCTCAGCCTTCCATTCCCTTCCCTTCCTAGGCCATTCCCAGCTGGTCCTTACCTCAAAGCCTTCTCAGCCATTCATTTCAACTTCTTCAGACCTAGTCTTCTCAGACAGTCTTCGCAACTTTGCACCGTGTTGGTCTGCCCATCCATCTGTTCTGCCTGTAGCCTTCAGAGTACATCAGGGAACGTGGCTGTTGGAATGCTGCTCTTTAAACCTGCCTCCTAGCCCTTTCTCCATCAGCCAGAACCATGCAGATGACAATCACTTCAGCATTTCTCTGGAGACTGCTCAGATTTCATCTGCCTGTCCACTGATGTGGGCTTTGTACAGCCCAGTGCTTCTTTCTGCGGGTTTAGATTCTGCACCGAAGCCAACTAACTGTGCTTTCTGGGCTATGGGAGGAGGATTAAAACCTGTCATTGTAAGATCATCTTTCCAAAGGAGCACTTTTCTTCTTTTCTGTGCTCTGATTTTTCACAGTTCTTTAAAGCTGAGAAGAGCTGCAGGTGTTCTCCTGTCAGAAAAGTCAGCCTATTCAAAGGAGGCCAAGCTGCTGCTCCTCACTGCTCTTTAATTGGGTTATGAAGGGCTGCTTTATCCCAGCTGTGTGCTGGGGCCCTGCTGGGGCTGGTAGCTCCTATCTGTGAGAGGTGCAGCTCAGTGTAAAGAATCAGAGGGGAAAGAGGGTGTTGAGGATATTTAGTCAAATGACATATAAGATTAGACAGGTGATATATAAAAGAAAGTGCCACCACATTTGCCTAACAATGTCAAGTTCCATAAAGTCACAGTGACTGCTACAAATTATATTCTTATCCTTTAGATTTTTGGCATCTGAAGCCTCCAAGCAAACACTCAGTGCATTAGACCGTGATTACACCAGCTGGGAAATGTTACCATGTGCTCATGTGTTTCAATGAGGTATTTCAGCACTAGTCACAAAGAGGGGAAGTGTAGGTCAGATGTGAGGAGGACATTCTTTACTCAGAGGGCAGTGAGACCCTGGCACAGCTGCCCAGAGAAGTTGTGGTGCCCCATCCCTGGTGGTGCTCCAGGCCAGGCTGGGGCCCTGGGCAGCCTGAGCTGGGGGGGGAAGAAGGGGGGGCAAAAATTCAGGTGAATTCTGCAACACCAATAAATGGGAGAAGACACCAGTGAAAAGGTAGACAGGCTTTTAATGGCATGATCAAGAATCCCCCCGTTAATAATAAATCTAATGACAACTGTGTCTGGTATGAACAAGAAATGGCATCGTCGTATATTCTTTTTAAGACGTGATCTGAAGGTATGAGCAATGCCAGGTGGATCTGTACACAGACGGGGCCTCTGTGATGCATGCCTGATTCGATGGCCAAGAAATTTGCCATGCAGTTGAACCGGATTGTGGTTCCTGGTCAGAGTTGTACATTCTGTTTGCAGTGTGTAAACATTCTCGAGCTGCTTTCCTAAAGAATGCAAAGGAGATATGTAGAGATTCAGCCTTGGGACCCAGTCACGTTCCCAGACAGTACCAAAGAGCAAGAGTCCTGTCTCCGGGCCAAAAGGCTTTGTCGGACTGTGTTGGAGGTGAAGGAAATCAACGTCGGTGTGCCAGCTGTGATGTCTGAGTGTAGAGTCCCATGCTAATGTGTTAAAAGGAGATTTACAAAATTATCTGCGTTTTCAGCTCCAATTCCTGTCCGGAGAAGCAGCAGCCCAGGTTGCACAGGACAGCAGTGTCCCTCACACCGGTTCTCATGCATGGGCTGGTTTAAAATGCGGACTCCTTGCCTAACCCCATGCCCTGCAGAGCTCTTCACACCACCTGCAGATGCCAGTCTGGGAGCCTCTGCCTTTGCAGCCATGTCCCCGAGTGCCACCAGCCCCTGCCTCCTCCTTGCAGCTGGGGTAGAGGTGAGGCAAGCTGAAATCTCAGGCCTTCTGCTCATTCTGGTTCAGGAGTTATAGGGAGGATGTGCTCACACCACGGTCCCTGCCAGGAACCCTGTGGATCTGCTGTGGTAGCTCCCTTCCTCCTTTTAGCACAGAAGGCATCAATGTCTGCCTTAAGCCTCCTCTGCAGACATTTGCAGCTCCAGAAATAGAAGGGGAAATGCTCCTCATATCCCAGAGCAGCAGCCTGCAAAGGGGCCAGGTGTTCCTTAAGTTGTGCAGACATCCAGGACAGCTACGAAGACCCAGACGGGGAGGGACTGATCTACAGGGGTCAAAGAGTGACTGCAGACCATGTTTACTAGAGGAGGGAAGCTACAAATGAGGGGATGGGAGAGCTGTAGTGTGCAAATTGCTGCCATTTCGTAGTGTCCTGGCTGTGCCTGAGACCATGGATCAGCGCAGCCTGGAACCAGGGCTGCTTTCTAGCATCACAAAGATGCAAGACCCAAAGCTCATGCAGATGCTGTCAATTTATCTGAATGTCAGCTGGTTCTGCTTTCCTGCTAGCACAGTCCCAGTGGTCAGCAAGAGGCTGAGGGAGAGCAAAAAGCCATTCGGGGTTCTGCAGAGGACCCTGGAGCCAGCAAGCAGGGAGCACGTGGGCACCCACCCTGCTGTTGGTCACACAGCACACAGAAGAGGAAAGGACCTGAGCAGAAACCCAAGCTCTCCTCTTGTGTGCAGCTGCTGGGAAACAGACGTGATCACAGGTGCCCAGGTGGTCTCCACATGCTTTGTGAATGCAGCAGATCAAGCATGGGCACATTGCAGTTAAGCCAGAAGAAGCTCGTTGGAAACCAAACTCATCAGATCCACAACGGGACTTTTATTGTGTTTGCAAGATTCATTTGACTGCAGTTTGTGGATGCATGGAGCAAGGCCTCCAGTGGACATCCGTGTTCTTGCATGTGGGATAGTGGTGGGATCATGCCATGAGACAGTAAACTGTACAGGGAAGAAAGAAGTGTGCTAAGGGGCCACTGAGCTACTGCTGGAGCTGTTCAGGCTGTAAGCAGATGCGGAACCATCTTATTACAGAGATTTACACTGAGAAAATAGCTCTGTGTTGGAAAGGAGTAACACCAAAGACACTGTTACCCCAAGTAAACCACGCTTCTGTTAATGAAGGGCCACCACTCAGTCTCCAGACCCAGATCAACGCCACACAAGATGGTTATGACAGCTCGGATGGCCACCCACACCACTGTGTGTTGGCCCCTGGTGAGCAGAGCCTCACAGCTCCTGTGTGCTTCAGTGGTGGTACCCTGCTCCTCCATCTGCACCCACAGCACAGGGACAGCCCTGGACACAGCAGGGACACACAGTGCCTCTCTGAAGGCTGCAGGATCCTTTTCAACCTTTAGCCACAATATATAATGGGCACTACTTATATTATATTCTTATAATTTAAATATATATATATATATATATAGTAATACTCTCTACTTAGAAAGGACAAGCCAAGTGTCCTGCCTCTTGTAAACCCCAAGCACGACCCAAAAATGTCTGTCACTGAAACACCTTTTGCATCAAGACAAGCCAGTGTCCGTGCCGCCAACCAAAGCCAGCTTAGTGTCTCCAGCCACGCGTCTGTGCCCTTCCGTGATACTCTCTTGACTGTCTCTAGTGCTCTTTTTGCTCATACAGTCCACTGTCATATTAGCTCGGTGCTGAGAACTATTCTTCAGACCCACCCCTTGCCACATCATCTTGTATCAGCCATCTGCCCTAACAGAACAACCCCTCAAACATGATCTGCTGCATTTGACCCAACTATGACAGATGCGCTCCTGGCTTGTGGGGCAGAGAACAGGATGAGAGACCCACAGTTCCCAGCCCCTTTTGTAGGACTCTTTTCATGGGAAGTATCACCAGCAAACTCTCCTCTCCAGAGAACCAAGCAGCCCCAAGTGACAGCAGTCCCTGGGGTCATGCTCACCTCTGAAGGGCAGAACTTGGAAAATCAGAGTGAACAGACCCAGAGCAGCTTTTGTATGGCAGAAGCTTTCCTGAGTGTCCCTGCCAACATCTGGAACAGAAAGCAAGTGTCCTGGTTTGGGCTGGGGTACAGTTAGCTCCCTTTGTAGTGGCTGGTGTGGTGTCGTGTTTTGTATTTGGTTGAGAATAATGTTGATAACATACTGACATTTAGTGGTTGCTGAGCAGTGCTTGCATGAAGCCTGACTCTTTGCACTGCCAAATTTAGCAAATGAGCAAATTATTTTAATCACTTGACTGAATGAACTCAGCACTGAAGCTCCTGTAAAAAATAATCTCAGTAAAAAATAGTACAGTGAAGGACAGTAAGAGGCAATGTGAAGCATTTTACCTGTAACATCACAGCATCATTTGCCACTGGGAAAGGGGACAGGTCTGGAGCTCCAAGCCTGTGGGACACACGGGGACAGCCAGGCCGTGCAGGAACAACCTTGGGAGCCTGTCAGTGGCAGCAGCCAGCAGCTCCTGCTCTGGCTTTCAACCCTGCTGCAGCCAGCCAGCTCTCAATGCCAATGGACCTGATGACTCAGGATAGACAGTGCATGACAGTACTACAGATCCAGCTGCAGCATCAGCCCAGCCCTATCACACAACATGGAGACAGGCTGCTGTCTCCCATGCTGGAAATCATTCACTGGCATTCTTCTTTCAGTTTCCTTCTTGACATGGTACAGCTGGGCCATGGACAATTCTAATTTAAACTTTCTCTTGAACAAATACAATAATTGTGCTTCACTGGTCTCCCATGACAAAATGGGTTTGCTAATCCTGCAAATAGCCCCATAGCACTCGTTTCCTGCTCCTTCGATGCCTTTTTGGCATGTGCATGTAAGACCTGGATAGAGTATCTGGTAATGGCTTCACTGTCAAAATCTTATTATCTAAGCACTCTAAAATGAACAGTCTGCTGACAAATTAATAGGAGTGCCATTACCATTTATATTTCCAGAAAGAATCTGTGTATTTGGGTTTATTTTGTTTTCTAGTTTCAAAACTCTCAGGACATATTTAGGCTGCAGTTGGACCAGACTCCAAACTCACATGAAGTCATTGTGCCCGCAGAAGAAGTGGTAGAATTTACTATCTACTCTTTCCTCCACTTTTGGCAGAAGCATTTGTGTGATCAAATGCTGAACCTGATGGATGAACAGATGAAAACTAACCCAGCAAACCAGAGCACTTGTTGTCACACTGGATCCCTATCTCCAGCCACCTTACTGAACAGCTGCCCTAGGATAAGGGAGGGGATTGCAAGTTGGAGGGACCACTGCCATCATTGGTTAAGTCATCTCAGTCCCTGAAACCACAACCTGAGCGTGGAATTCTCAGTGCCCCTCTGCAAATATGAGAGCTGGGATTTGTTCTCGGATGAGAAGCTCTGCTTACTCTACAAGGGTGAATGACTTTTAAGGAAAACACCAAACGTTTTGAACTGTATGAAATAAGTTCCTAGCATTGTCAACACTGGAACTGTTGTGTAGAGAGGTAAGTCCCATCACTTGTTTCCAGACATTTCCCTGTTCTGATGTCCCAGGAGTATCCTGTTCTCCCTGCCACTCCGTCACAGCTCTCATGATCCATGCACGTTCCTGTAGAACCACTCTGAAACAGAAAGTTGGGATTCCTTGGATTGGATGACCATGAATGTGACTGTAAATACATTCGAATGAGTCAGTTACTACCATAAGATTCTTCCATCAAGCTTTTTTGTCTGCAAATCTTTTCTGAAGCTGCTAGTTGCAGCTGCAGGAGTTGGGTGGGCAGAGCAGCCATTGTTTTGTTCTGCCTTATGCAAAACTTCTTTTAGGTGTGACAGTGGCATGAAGCCCCAAGGATTTGGGTCTGTATTGTTTCTCCCTATGCAATGCAGGGAAGAATTTGTGACCATTTCAAGATCTTATCAGGCTCTGGCAATTATCAGTCCTCCTGGCTTGAATTTTCAAACCACCCTAATTAGCTGGGTAGCTAAAAAGTTGGCGTGCTAAGTGAGAGCTAAGCTTACGTTTTGGTAATATTATTTAAGAGCACAGCCCTTGCTTTTGTGTTCACATTGTTGGTTGTTAGGCAATGTGTGGAAGAGCTGAGCATGAGAAGGACATAAACCCGATATCCCGATGAGAAATGCACAGGATACCCACAGCATACCAGCAAAACTCTCCTTGCAAAGCAGCAGCTTTAGAGTATACTACAGGATAATTACTTCCCTCCTGCTGTGTAAGGGAACCTTCAACGACAGTGCCAAAATTCACAAACACCAAGAACGTGACAATAAAGCACAAGGAATTTAGGTGCAGGGGGCACCCGAGCTGAAGGCATCCAGTGACTATTCACATCTTCAGGATGGAGCTGTGTTTGGGTGGCCTACAGAACTGTGGCACCAACCACACTCAGGCTGAGAGGAACCACCCATGTCAGAAGATGTGGTTTCCACAGGTCACAGTTCAGTATCTGAGACAGAAGTGGCTGCAGAGTGCTCCCTTCCACAGCACATGCTAGTGCTCTGGATTTCCCAGCAAGCTGCCCATACATCCCTACTTTCAACTCAATACCTGCCCCACAAGCGGCTGCTGAAACAGCTCTGCAGGACACCCTGGAGCAGGCAGGAGCATCTACAAGGGCAGCCTTTGCCCCACTCCTGCCTGCAGAGGCCCTTGTGGAAAAAGGAGAGCAAAGCTCCTCCAGCCCTCTCCTGCACTTTTCTCAGCGCACGACAACACACCCATCTGAGCTGGGCTGGTGACAAGCCCTCACTAACACAGGTTGCAGGAGAGGAGCCAGCACTCAGCCGTTGGCAGCCAGGGCTGGTGTTTTCCCAGCAAAGAGAGAGCAAGGGCTGCCTGCAGGACAGGAGCCTTCCTCCCCAGCAGGCTCTCATCACTTCCACTCCTCTTTCCAAAGCCAGGGTCAGTATTGGCGACAGGTATTGCCAACAGAGAGAGGGGATTGCCTGGGGAGTAGGGGGTCAGGCACTAGGCAGGCTGCCAGGGTCGCTGTGCATTAGCAAGCGTGAGCTGCGGACTGGATGTTTCCCTCGAAGAAGGCTCTGTGGCTCAGAGGCTCTCAGGCCTGTGGGAGCTGATCACAACTGTGTGGGGTGAGAGTGAGTGAAGCATTGAAGTACAGCTACTGCTATACACTCGTGGTTCCGGCATGGAAGGCTGTGCTGCAGCATCTCAAGTGTATACTATATGCAGAAGTTACCCAGTCTGTTGGGTTGGCAGAAGATCATTATCTGGCAGCTGCCTTACTTTCCAGGGACACCTGCTTTCCTTTGGTTGCTGGACTCTGAGTCTGGGTTTTTCCTCTTTGCCGTTTTTTGGCCGTGCCGGGAGAGGGCAGGGAGTCTCCTGTTGGTCCCAGGGCCTGAGCCTGGGGCTGAGGTCGGGGGGAAGGTGGAACTCGCTGGAGAGCAGTCCCTGGCTTATGCTGCCTGCAGGGAGAAGGGTTTTCCCTCCGAGGCAACAACTGGCTTCTTGGGGAAGCAGTGGGGGTTTTGGAAGGAAGGACAGGGCTCCGAGGGGATGCGTAGCTGGACCTCTGCGTGCTGCTCCGTGGAGGAAGAGACGTGGAACTTGGTGAAGGAGGAAGCCGGCTTTGTATCTGCATTGCTCGGTAGTCGTTTGGGACACTTCCAGCTGCTCTCTGTGCCTGGAGCCTACAGGGAAAGAAAAGAGGGCGTATGAATAGGAATTACTGCAGGAGACTCTGGGCTCCTGGCAGCTCTGGCATCAGTGCTGCTGGGACAATTACAAGGAATCTCTAGCATCATGTGACAGGAGTTATATTATGAATAAGCTGGGGTAGTGGCCTCAGCATCATCCCATAACAATGCTGTTAAGCAGTAAGTGTGTTCCCTGATTCACCAGTACCCTATGGGACAACATTCAGGCATGGTTTAGCAAGGCACACTCCTTTGGAATCTTCTTAACATGCACTGTGAATGCAGCAACCTCTTTTAAGGTAGGCAACACAGTCCGACTACGAGAGCATCATTTAGGCTCTGAATAACTTCGCTGGAAGATAAACCAGCTCACAGGGATCACGGCCCTTCACCTGAATCTGAAAAAGCACAGGGATATGTGAGGAATTTAGACTGTGTGGAAGTGGCTCAAACTCCTCCAGGTCACTGACACTGCCTGTATATATGCGCATCCCTCCCTCCAATTCTTCTGCTGATGCAGTCACAACTTGTGATGCCTCAGCCCTTGCAAGCCTAATTGCAATTGCTAGGCCCTTTAGAGTCAAGGACTTGGTGAACATGCTGCTGAATTGAGAGCCCAGGGATCAGACCAAATGAAAGAGTTCATAGAAGGGAAGAAGGTCTCAATGTCAGGACACATGAAAAAGGAGTTGGCCTGTTGACCAGATTGAGCCAAAGAGCACAAAAGAGGTGGGAATTTTATACACAAGTGATCTGAAGTGAATATAAGAAAGGGGAATGGACTGCACATTCAAGTCAGGCAAAGAGTAAAGGAGTGCGAGGTGAGCACAGCTCCCACTGCGATTCCTTCACAGGTCCAAACTTTGCACTGCTCAGCATTTTGGGCTTACCTGTAGGCAACAGCCGCATCCTGCGGGGAAAGCACTGCCATCACAACGGCTGTGGAGCTCTCAGACTTCATTGTCTCTAGCGGTGTTTTCACAGGTGTGATGGGCCGAGGAATTCTGCTCCTTGTGCTTATGAGTTTCTCTTCTCTCCCCAGGAGGGCAGCTTTCTTCCCTGCCTTTCTTGGGATGGAGTCATCAGAGTCATGGGTGTCCTCCTCAGAACCAGTGGCTGACAGGGTTTCTGAGGCCCGCCGCCTCTCGTCACTGGAGGATGCTGAGGAGGAGGCCCCCGAAGCCAGCCTAAGGAGGCAGTTTTGTCTCTTCTCCATCACTAAACGAGCCAGATCAGGTTGCTTTGCCCTCTTATAAAGCCTCTCTTTGGCTGAGAGTGAAGTTGAAAGATCTGAGCCAGTGTCCTCCTCAGAGAATAAAATGGGGATCCGACTTCTATACCTGGAGCCCAGAGGTCTCCTGGGGCCCTGCTGTGGAGCATCAGGGAGGGTCTCTGCTGGCTTCAGGTGTTCCGCTACCGATGCTGGCTTCTCAACGTCAGGCTCTCTCGTGACCACCTTGGCAGACTCTTCCAAATCCAGCGAGAGTGCCACATTGTCAGAGGACTCTGCCTTATCCTCAGGAGGCTTTGCTACATTGGGGACTGACAGCTGCTCCCCCACTGTTTCTGAGGTGGTTTCAATGGGATTAGCAGAAAGTGCACAGCTCTCTGTCTCTGCCCCTTCTAATCCCGAATGGATGCTTCCGTTCTCTACCAACGCCAGATTGTCTTCCAGCTCCTCTTCAATAATGACCTCTTCAAACTGTCCCGGAGGGCAGTATTCCTCATGCCTCATCAGCTGGCCGCTGGAAGACATGACATTGAGGTGGGTCTTTTCTGCTATGTGAACAAATGTGCGCTCGACTTTGGTAAATGGGGAGGAAGCTGTAGCCACTGCCACGGGAGGCTTTGGTTCAGATTTAAGGACTGAGGACAGGGTCCCTGGCTCAGACACGTCTAGTTGGCTACCCATTGGCTGCGGCCGTTCGCTCTGAGGTGTCAGTGCAGCAAGTGTCCCCAGATCAACTTCTGGAGGCAAGTCTGTGGTCACTGGAGATTTTTTCAGATCACCTGGTGAAAACAGCACCAGTGTTTTTGAGCCCTCCTCCAGTTCCAAGTCCCCATCAGCCATGGAAGCTCGACCCTTGGATCCCTTCTGGTCATCAGCCAGGAGAGTGGATGGTGCGCACTCCTGGCTGCGCTCTGTGCTTTTTTGACTCAGATCACTGCTGGAACCACTGTGCATGTCAATTTCATCCCCTTCCTCCTCCACATCCTCTTCATCTTCTTCCTCATCTTCATCTTCTTCCTCGTCCTCTTCCTCCTCCTCTTTGCCATTCATTTCCAGGTAAGGCTCCAGGGGTTTGCAAGGAGCAGTCAAGACAACATTTGAGAAATCAACTCTCTTTATCCGCTGGGATAACTTAGCCTTTTCCCAGTACTCTAACATGTCTTTTCTGAAGTCTTGATAAGGCAAACTTAAAGGCACTGCCTTGGGCAGACCATTCATTTCAAACGACTTCAGTGTATATGCCTGCCAGAAGACAAATGAGACAAAAGGAAAAGGTTAGTATTCAGACGTAGCACTGACACAAAAGTCATTGGCATCAAAGGCAGTGGGAAACATCAGTGGAAAAAATCTAAACCATCATGATTCCAAAATACACACTAGAGTGGTGATCGCTCAACCATTAGATTAGTACCAACCTTAGAAAAGAGAGAATCATAGACACAGATCAACAAAGGCAAAAATCTTGATGAAGGAGTTGCTTTGTTAGCATTTATTTACCTGTATTGAAAGAATCCCTTTTAGCAAGCAGTTCTTGAGGATTTTTTTCATGTCTCCCAGTCTTCTTCAGTATCACCTATTTATGTCAGTACCTGTATAGTTATATATTCATACCTTCCTTACTAGAACCGTTCAGCAACTCTCTTTTATGCCCAGGCCACAGAACACTTATACGCCCCTTCTGAGGTAGACAATTTCCTAATCACTTCAGAGTACCATCCAACTTTGTCCCACAGCAAAAACCTTTATAGATCTTCAGTGCCCCTTGCTCTATTATTCAACTCTCTTTTCTGCTTTGGTTTTATTTCCAGCAACTTCTAGTTCTGTTTTCTACAGTCTTCTGCTTCCACTGGAATGATCAGCAAGTAAGTCATGAATGCTGATTTACACGGTATTGCTATTAGACTTTGGTGTATCCAATCATTAAAAGCAGGGGGAGGATGGAACTGTTGGCTGAGACAGCGTTTCTCAAGCTGTAGTCTGTTGAGGTCAGGCTGTCCATAAGGCTACAAGGAGCAGTCTGTGAAATGACTGAAAATAAAGCCAGCAGAAAAGCAGTGCTTCACACGCATACACACACTTCACTGAACAGCAAGAAGAGGCAAAATAAATAGGAAATGCCTATCAAAGTTTAGTTCTATCAGCAACTGGTTGTAAGTGAAAACCACAGGAGTAACACTCTGCAGAAAGGATCTTTTATAAGATACGTATGTCACCATTCAGGTAAGAGGGCTGGGAAACTGAAGCCACTCCGTGAACTCAAGCAGACAATAACACAACACATTACATTTGGGAAGTCCTCACCACAAACAGGAAGGCTGCAAACATCTGCTTTTTCAAGTGGCATTTGAGGGAATCAGAGGATGTTCAGGCTATGCAACTGAACAAGCACCCATTTAACTGTGTGGGATACACAGCTGCCAGTGGCTAGGTGTGTGAAAGATATAAGATCCTTATGCTCACATGCAACAGGGACATTTCAAATGGAACCGTGGGTCCCAGTGAAACTTACTCCTCATTTCTCCTTTCTTATTGACAAAGTCTGCCTGCTACTGTCTTCATATTTCTTTCTGTCTTATAAATTAAAACACAGGCTGGCTCCGACAATGCCTTTGGCATCCAAAGTTTATTCTCATCTCTTCCTAAAGCAGGAACCTGGCCCTGAGGATGGTCTTGTAAGAACCAGATTTGGGCTTTCACTGCGGAGTGCTATCTCTTGTATCAGGCTGACAGATGCAAAGCTTTGACTGTTTGGATGGACCTACTACCTTTTTCAAAGGAAATTACCCACTTGGCTTCCTCCCTCTTTTCCTCTGGAAAACTTTCTGGAAAACAGTCCTGCTGGCTGGATTTGGTCTTCACAAGAAATACATACATAGTAGAAATCTCCTCATTCCTGGAATCCTGATCAAGCAGGCATACTTCCCCAGCCTTGGGACTGGCTCTTAACATAGCAGCTCTGCTCAATGTCTTGCCTTGCACAGGTCACTCACTGCTCTATCTCACCCTGCTGTGGTTGATGGTACAGTTACAGGATCACTGGTTTCTCTTTGCATATGTAAAACTTCAAATGTCCTCTCTTGGGAGTTTCTGACATCTCATCTGCTTTCTGGTCAAGGGGAACTGAATCCAGTCCTGCAGCGCACATCCTGTATAGGCGAGAGATGCTCTGCAGTCCATTCTGCCACCAAGCTCCTCTGTTGGCCAGAACGGACAGGCATGAGACCTATTGCTACTGGTGCAGCCTGGCATCTTGTCTGGTGACCCAGTGATCTCTGTGGCTCATCACACACCTCTGTCCCCTTCTGGCTATCATTTCTTACCAATAAGATGTCCTGTACTCTACTGCCACTTTTTCAATCTCGAGTCATCCTAAGAGCTTTTGAGATTCATCTCATCCTTCGCTTGTAGCTATTATCTCAGCAGCTCTGCAGGAACATTAGCATATCCACTGTGTGCACTGCACACAGTTGGTGTACTGTTTTATGAAATGCTTCTTTCTTTAACTGTTCTTTCTTTTGCAAGACAGCAGGGTTGGGTTTTTTTGAGATGATTGTTTTAGGCATATATATACATATGGTATATACACGTTTTTGTTTCACTGCTAAGCAGTAAGGTATAACAGTGACATTGCTATAATATAAATTACAGTTCTATCTTCTTCTCTGGTTATTTTTTGCTATTGGTGAGTCATGCTGCAGATACTAACCTCCACCTCTGCCTGGAGAAATTCCTTGTGGTATTCAGCATGTGGACTGTCTTTCTGCCATTTCAGTTTCTGTGTATTTCTATTTCCCTGCCCAGATATTGCCATGATGCAACAGTGATTGTTTGGCTTCTACCTACCTCTGGGAGACTTGGGCTATTCAACCTATGGCATACCCTACCCCAACACTGGCAGAACTCATTCCTCAAAGAAGCCTGAGACTGTGGTCATTTTGCCACTGCAAGCTCATCGTGGAGCAAATCCAAAGAGCGTAAATATGCCAAAAATGACAGACAAAAGTTATGCACAAATGTAAGTAAAAGAAATTTTGCTGAGATGAGCCTTAGGTCAAATACATATTTTCTTAACTACTATCATCATTTGTAGCTACTAAGAAGGAAGACAGTCCTAAGGCATCACTCTGAGATTGTCTTCACTGTTGAACTGATGTGATCAGCAGCCATCTACCAATGGCCATGCTGCTGAACATGCTGCTCCTACTCTGAAGCCCTCAAAGTGTCCTCTGTTACATACCACGTGTCTTTTGTACTACAGCAGGCTCACTTTCTCTAGCACTGTTCCTGAGAGGCTGGAGAAGAACTTCTCTGCTCTGTTGTACCAATGGAAAGAATATGTGGGAAGATAGTGGAAGATCAGGAGTAGAGAGGCTTACTGCATACCGCATACTGCATATGCACTGCTAGCTGGAGGGAAATGCCCAGTGTTAAAGCTGAAAGCCATGTACAAAACGCTTTCTGCTGGCTTTGTAGATGTTAAATTGTACACGCTTAAGCCTTGCCAGTTCAGATGCTGGTTAACGTCAAGCCAGAGCTCTAAACACATCAAAATGGGGCCAGATGCAACCTGTTCTGTGATATGACCAGAAGTAAAACAGTGAAATTGGTTCTAGCCTAAACTTACCTAAACGCAACTCACCATGTGGCCTTCCCAAAGTTCATGAAAACTATCCTCAACAGTCACAAGACCTTGGTTTTTTCCCCAGATCCAACCTCACTGCAAGTTTTCAGTGATCACATTAGCAAATGACCGTAAGTTCTACCATCGCTCCTCTACCTCCCAGCCCTGTGCTCCCACATACCTACCCAAGGCTGAGCAGGGGACACCCTCCCATAGCTGGGAAGCACAGGGAGTAGAAAAACAAAGCAAGAAAGCAAATAAAAAACCCAGCCGTCACCAAGGTGCTGCCTTTGATTCTTTAATAAGGTTTTGGTAGTATACAAGCTCTTTTTTTCCGATTGTCTGGATTAACATACATGGATTTAAAAAAGGCACAAAATCCATTGCACAGCTTTCTGTTTTGTTTGTTTTTTGATTTCATTGCCTGTTTGTCGTGGTTTCAAGTGTAGGATTTTACAGTACTCTGCAGCATTTACAGCATGGTCTACATACAAGTAATCAATGCATGCTTTTATACAGGAGACAGAATTCAAATTCTCTCTCAGTATGTCTATATACACAATAATACAGTGCTTTTCTTCTGAAAAAAGCTTTAAGTTGGTCTTGCATGCTTGGTGTGCCAGAAGAATTAGTGCAAGCATATATTACAGTGTTATTGCAGTACAAAAAAGGGTTGACATTAGGCTCCAGAGGGATTAAATACAGAAAAAATAAAAAGACTCAGGGAAAACAAGCTTTGGATCCCTTTAGTCAACTACATCCTTCACTTGATCTCTACTCAGTACCACCTTTAAAGCTACAGCAGCTGCTTCCTCTCCATCTCCCTGCTGCCCTCCCCCTGAGATGAGCTTCCACAGCTTCTTCACACCTTCTCCCTAGCAGTTGGTGAGGGCTTCTGGCAGCTCGAGGAAGCCCTTTCTGCAGGGCTCCTGATGCTGGAGTCCAGCACAAAGAGGACTTTCCTGAGATCCACTGCTTCGAGCAAACTCAAGTCCCAGCAGATGAAGTTTCTCAAACAAAGCAGGAAGTACAAGAGGTTACCTACAGATTTTGCCTACTCTCAAGAGAAATGACTACAGAAACCCACGTTCACCTCCTAACTGAAAATCAGCGGTTAAATGTGGTTTGGACTCTCTCCTGCTTAGCAGCAACAGAAGTCTAACAGGTGACACAAGGTAATGCAAAGGAAGGATATGCTGGTCCCTGAGATTCTTCATGCGAGCTGAGAAGTCCAAGAAGCAGAAATCAAATTCCCAACATGGTATCAACTGTTCTGTTGGGACTGGGAAGAGGCCTTAGTCCTGAGAGATGCAAATGGCACACAGACAGCAACAGCTATAGTCCAATCTTCCCCTTAACAGCTTTGATTTGGATTCTATCAGGAACGTAGCATATCCTGGAAGTGACATTATCCTCTGCCAATACAGTCTAAACTTGTTTGGGACTGAGAGACCTGATGGGATATATGATGATGAGTGGAAAAACTAGAATCTGAGTTTCTGAAGCAGCTTTTTCTTCCAGCCAGCAACACATGAGGTAAAAGTAGCAGGGGTCTCAGAGCTGCCATGCTTGCTTGCAGGATGTCTGCGTTCCAAGAATCAGCACCATAATCGTCAGAGAG